TGTCTCTGTCTCTGTCTCTGTCTCTGTCTCTGTCTCTGTCTCTGTCTGTTTGTCTCCTACCTTTCCCTCTTTATCTCCCTCCCTACCTACCTACCTACCTACCTCCATACCCTGCCCTACCCTACCCTACCTTACCCTAACCTAACCTAACCTTACTACCTCCCTCCCTCACGGCCTATCTACCTACCTGCCTGCCTACCTACCTGCCTACCTACCTGCCTGTCTACCTACCTACCTACCTCACTACCTACCTCCCTCGCTATCTACCCTACCCTGCCCTGCCCTACCCTACTCTACCCTACCCCACCCCACCCTACCGTACCTACCCTCCCACCTACCTCCCTTCCCTTTGTCGAGAGTTTGCTTTGGCTTCGGATCTCACCAGCTTCTGGATGTAAGGCAATCATTTCAGCTGGCAAATAGTGACGGTGCATATTTCGGCCAAGTTTTGGACATGTGTTTGCATCCGAGCTTCAGTGCTTCCTATGGTTTCATTATCGGTTGCTGGTAGCATGATTTGAACAGTCAGGCAGCCACGATGGCACGGGAGCTCCAAAAAAGGCGCCAGCGCTGAAAATAGGAGAAATTGCATTGTACATCCTTTCCTTTCCTTTCTTTATTCCTTCTCTTAGAGCTTCTATGACCTTTCTTTGGACCTTTTCTCTTCTTTCATTGCTTTTCCATTACTTTCTGATATGGCCAGGCATCTTGCGCATCTATTGGCAGAGTTTGTGCAACCGTGGAGAGAGGCCGGCAGAGAGATGCACTGTGAATTGTGCATTGCCATTGTTGCAGGTATGCCGACGTAATTCCAGAAGTGGAAATGTGACCAGAAAGTCCCAAAGTGCCGCGTAATTAGATCGTTGCATCATAGCTTTCTCACAACTGCTGAGCCCAACATGGGCTTGGTCAACTCGCCAATGCATTGTGCTGAACTTGCGAATCTTGTGCTTTGCTTGCATTTTGGGTGCAGAAAGCCAACAAATTACAACTTGGCAACATCTTTGTGAGGCCCTTGAAGAGACTGCCAAAGCACATGGTGTAGAGCCTAACATTTTGCAAGGCCGCGAAAGCAACAGAGCTTGAAAGCTTGAAACTGACGGCAGCAGCCAGCAATCATTGCGGGAAGATTCTGCCGGCAACTCCACAAGAGTCTGAGAAAGGTTGTCTCGCTTGTATGTTCTAGTCATGGCTATAATATGCTCCATCCCAGTGCACAATTCTCCCTCTCTCTCTCTACCGACCTCCCTACAGAACAGCTCCCTTCGGTCTTTCCTTGATTCACATTGCTGGTGCTTGACCCCTACCCTACCTTCCCTACCTTCCCTGCCTCCGTGCCTCCCTGCCCTCCCTACCTACCTCCCTACCTCCCTACCTGTCCACCTACCTGTCTGCCTACCTGTCCAAAGGACTGTCAACTTGCTTCCAAGCCATAACCCCAGTTGACATGGATGGGATGGTCATTTCCAAAATTATTCTTGTCTTTAACAAGTTTATTTTGCTGTGCTCTTGCTTTCCGCGTGCACTGTCCAAGGGAGGACTCTTGAGCGGGGGGTGCACCTAGTGCAGGTGTCGCTCATGATGCCATGCTTGGATCACGGTGTCGAAGCCTAGCTTTGAGTGTCTTCATTTTCAGAAAGAACGACTTAATGGGGGACATGTCCGGACAAATCCCTATTGCTTTCAGTCAAGACCCAAGGTGGAGATTGTCCGCTGAAGCCATTCTTGAGTGGATCAAGATCCAGGTGGCAACCAAGTATGCATTTGTACCCCGAATAAACAGTTCCGCATCTGAGGACTTCGTTGCAGATGGAAAAGTATGAATGCGTTGCAAAAGGGCGGGACAAAGGAAGCAGAAAAGGGAGAAACAACATCAAGTATCAAGCAAGTCGACCTTTATTTGTTTGTGGACATGGCAGAGACACAGCCAAAGCAAGTGCTTGTTGTTGCTTAGTTTATTGGTCTGCTTTTGAATGATCTCATTTGGCTTGCAGCACGTATTAATGAAGTTCAGTCAAGCAATCAGCTGCTTGGCACATCATGGGAGCATGGCGAAAGCTAGCTTTCCGTGCTCTCATGGCCTGGTTTCTCCTTGGGGGCACAGCCTTTGCTGTCAAGATGTCAGGGAGTGCTAATGGGCTCGCAAAGGTTGGCCTGGCATGCTGGGTCTTATGCGGTTGAAACATTTTCCGGCCAAAGCATGGTTTCAACTTGGTGGCAGCTGAAGCGTCGGCCGGGTCGCTACTCTACTTCAGGAGATGCAGCACAAAATGACCAAAGAAGAAGAAGAAGACCAGAAAATTCATGATGAGAAAGCCCGGTGCTCTGCAGAGAAGATGTTTCCTTCCCAATTGAACACGCAGTAGAGGCTTGCTGGTGCAACTCCAACATTTTCGAGAAGACAACCGCGGCCGTGTCCTTGTGCTAATATTGAGCCCAGCCTACCTATATATATATATACATTATCTCATTCTGCATGCACAAACACTTATGGACAGGTGGCTGATTTCCAAGCCTTGCACGTGACGATTTCTTGTGTCACAGTGACTTTGTTCTTCTGCAAAGCAATTCTTTCTTTCGACCTGCAGACCTACTTATACTTATACTGTAACATCGGCCAGCATTGCTAGTTGACTGTACTTTCAAGCCTTGGTGTGCCCATCAGCATTGGCTGCACCTCTGAGGTCAATACGAACAAGCGGAAGATTATTGCTCTGAATGATTCAATCCAAAGGCAGCGGGGATGTAATGAAACAAGTTTCAATTGTCCTTTGGGCCTCAAAGGTTTCCTGCTGCATACGCTGTCAATGCTCAGAAAATCCCAAGAGTTGAGTTGAGCATAGAAGATTAGAAGGCAATTCCCCCCCTGGTCCTAGAACCAAAGGTTGATACTTCGATTGGGCAAATGATAATCTTAGAGGCTTAGAGAGATTGCGCTTGGGCACCAGCCGAGCAGAAATTTGCACCTTGCATGTTTTTTGCAATTGCTGTAATAGAGATTTTAACTGTTGGGTTTTGGACAGCTTCGCTGCTTCTGCCTAGACATTCAATTTGCAAAACGCTTCATTCCCAGACCCTAGTGCGACCGCTTGCACCTCATAGGCTCACTGTGGACAGCGAGCGTTGGAGGGCCGAGAAAGAACAGCTCTCCAAGGAGTGCCCTCTCTCTTGTCAAGTGTGTCACACTGTGTGTTTCTACAAAAGCTTGTGCAGCGCTGTTAAGCGTGATAGCCCCAGTGATGTCATCACAAGTTTTTATGCGATTTGTGCTGCCACAAGGAGATTCTGAATGCAAAGGTGAGAACTACGAGTCGCGCGTCCGGGAGTGTCCACAGTCCACAGCGCTACAAATGTTTGTTTCAGTCAACGTGGGCAGTATTTTAAATAGGCACAGTTTACAGCAGCTTTGTAAAGAAGAGTCCAAACGGAGATCTAATCAGGCACCTTGAGCTGCGAAATTTAATGTTGTGCATCATACTTTCACAAGACGACAGTTGCGAACCTGTGGAAACACAACTTTAGAACAGGTCGCTCAAGCCCAACGCAGCTTTTCTACGACTGCAGCAAGGTATTAAATGCCAAGCTTTCGTCCTCCTTGGGACTCTTCAGGGTCTGAAGCTATTTTTCCCCAAACAGTTTACTGTTGGGGTTCTCTCTTAGAAAAAAAGAGCTGGCCACACTGACTGGCCGCGCCTATGAACTCTGTGTCCGGGCTCTGTGTCCGGGCTTTGTGTCCGGGTCTCGTCCTCCTCTTGTCTTTCTCTTGTCCTGCTGCTGTCCTCTGGCCGCACTGACGAACCTTTTGTCTTTGAACGCATGTGGGGTGTCATGACCTCGTCATGGCCTGGGTAGGCGAGCCCATGCTCCATCTCGCGGAGCCTGTACAAAATGCTGACTACTGTGGCCAGCGAGCACCTAGCATTGAGAAAGACTCAGAGAGGCCGGGCGTGTCATCCGGCGCCAGCTCTGAGTGAACACTCTCAGAGGCCCCACTGCACGGCGCTGCAGCTCTTCTCCCAAAGCAGCGGCACTGTCTACCACAGCTCCACAAAGCTCAGGATCCTCAGCCATCAGCAGTGCCTCCGCCATAGAGGTATTGTCTGCCTGAGCCCAGCGGATGCGTTCGCTAGGTGGAAGGGAGACGTCAAAGATGGAGCTCATTGGTTGCAATTCCTCAGCATGGTATGCCTGAGCCAGGGCCAGAGCCGCGATCATCTGGCACCGGTGTGGCTGCGATCGAGCTGGACCATGCGCCAAGTTCACAGTGCCCAGACACCAGAGGCACGGCAGCCGTTCCTCGTCCCAGTGCGGCCAAGTGGCATCTAGGTGGGACACTCCAAGCATCCACAGGGCCGGGTGGTGGACATGAACATGGTCTTCAAAAAGTGGCATGCTCATCAGCTGGACCCCGCAGACCGGGTATGTAGTCGTCAGCAGCCGAGTCAAGTGGGAGTCACTTGCTTGAAAGACGGGAAAGTTTGCCTGGGCATAGCAACGTGCAGCATGGGTGATGAGTTCATCCTTCAAGAGGGCTGATGGGCTCGGAGTTGGGGGACATTTCAATTGCAGGTCAGCCTTGACCAGCCAGACCACCAACACATCTTGCTCGGGTTCTCGGTGCAATGCATGATGTTCCCGGGCCTCCCAGTTGTCCTGAAACGAGACCCAGCGATTGTGTCCCTGAGTGTGTGTGTGTGTGTAACCCTTGGAATCATAGGGATCCTTTCGGATTGTTTT